TTTGTCCGTATGTAACTCTGTTTTCCATGTGAAGCGCACACATGCAACATCTGTCTCGTATTAGCAGGAAGTAGGCNAGATTTTAACCTTTATGAGTCGAAAGACACCGTATCGGGACCTTTAAAGTAAAGCCAAGTGGCCGAAAGACACCATATTGTGACTCACAGTCCACGAGTGCGCACAGTGTTTTAAAATCTAATTTTAAGATAGAAATTCTTGTTCTACTTGCATTACTTTTGGGCACCTGCTTTATAAGTAGACTGTCTTCCCTCCTGCATCATCTAACTGAATGTTGCGTGTAACTGAATGCAGAGTCTTATGTCGCAATTCATGCACTTTGTTCGTATGTAACTCTGTTTTCCACGCGAAGCGCACACATGAAACATCTCTCTCATATTAGCAGGAAGTAGGCCAGTGGTGGTGAGTGGTCTCCTCTATTCGTAGCGCTTATAAAACATCGCAATTTCAACTATGCACCATGGCCCCATTTCGCATGGAAGAAGCCAAAATGGAGAGGCCGCTCGTAAATCACACCATTCAGAATGCGGTACATTATTTTTGGACACCAGCTTTATAAGTAGACTGTCTTCCCTCCTGCATCAGCTAACTGAATGTTGCATGTAACTGAATGCATAGTTTGATGTCACAATTCATGCACTTTGTCCGCATGTAACTCTGTTTTCCACGCGAAGCACACACATGCAACATCTGTTTCATATTAGCAGGGAAGTAGGCCAGTGATGGTGAGTGGTCTCCTCTATTCGTAACGCTTATAAAACATCGCAATTTCAACTATGCACCAGGGCCCCATTTCGCATGGAAGAAACCGAAATTGAGAGGCCGCTCATAAATCACACCATTCAGAATGCGTTACAGTTTATTCTGAAGGGACGTGGAAGCAAGGGGAATGAGGGGATATTCCAAGAAGAGTGCCTCTATATGGATAGTCCGACATACTTGTACGTGTATAAACAGTCAGAGTTTCATAAGGACAAAGTAGGATAAGAACTCGCCCACACTCGTGTATGCAGGAAGCCGATGTGACTGGAGAATGTGCAGTACAAACAAACTTCCTCCCCTTTCGCCAGATATGACATAGTAAGAGAGAATGTCAGCAGCATGCATTTATACTGCAGAAACGTTTTGTGTAGAAGCTTTATGCATTTTTATGGAGAGACGCTCAAAACTGGGGGAAATTTTTTTTTGGAATCAATGTAACAATTTTTACAGATTCTAAAATCTGTAAATTACAACAGCTGATTCTATATTCTTTCTAGATAAAAGTAGCATTTATTTCGTTCGTTTATCACAAAAATTGTAGAAATCACAGCATTTTCAGTAAGAGGATTACACTTTTTATTACTCTACAATGGCGGCATTTAAATTAACTCCGGCCCACGGTCATTACCAGAATTTAAATGGCCCATCTCTTAAAGGTTAAAACACTGTGCACACATGTGGACTGCGCGTACTCATACAGTGTCACACGGCCACTCGGCTATACTTTAAAGGTCCCCATATGGTGTCACTAGGCTCTTAGAGGTTAATATTGATTTTTGTATTCATATTTTAGACAAACACTGGCGCACATGATATAAATATTAATTTACCTGTAACTCTGTTATCTAAAAAAAACAGTATAAAAGAACAAGCTTATTCAGATCTCAGTTTTCAATTTTTCTGTAACACAAGTTATTCACTTCTCAGTTTTCACTGTTACAATTGCAATTTATAACTACATGCATTTTTAAATTTTCAAATTTGAAAGATCGCCAGTTGTCACTGAGGATAACTTTGCATTTGGACAAACTTTGATCCACATCACATGATATGACAGGAGCATATTTGAAGAATGTCAGTTCGTTTTGTGACAGTTCTGGATCATCTTTGAATGTTGCTGGTTTACCGGAAAGTATATGTGGAATCTTGCATATTGTTGAGTAACCAGCATTCCGATGAAGAGCACTTTCTGTTTTGATTTTAATCTTGTTGCTTACTTCACTACAAGATCAGTTTAGTTCATTCTCAGTGCTTTTTACAGTGTCCAATGCATCAGAATTCAGTCCCTACAACTCCCAGGCGAGTTATTGCACTTGAAATTGAACAGAAGTTTGACTTTGTATACGTCAGATTTTGTGCTAGAAGTAGAGAACAAGTCATTGACAGCTTTAATTGATGTTGACACGCTGCTGTCAGAGCCATTAAACACTTTCTCAATGGATGTGTAATTTTCACAATAATATGCCACAGCGTCCAACCATGTAACCCACCGTGTGATGATAGGCTGTGGAGGAAGTGGCAGTAGAGGAGCTTTTTTAAATTTCTCTACTCGAAGAGGGGCCTTGATGAATATTTTCTTTCCATTTGAAATTAGCCTATCTGCATTCAGAAAATATCTTAGAACTTCTTCAGCCACTCTGCAATGCATGAGTGAGGCAAGTAATATGGATCATTTTCAGGTAGAGAATTTGAAGTCCTTTGGCAGCCTTCTTCATGTATGGAACAGCATGTTATTAGGAGAAGGACGTCATTTCACTGTATTCCATTTGGCCTCAGCAAGTTCATGGAATTATCAAATAGGACAACTATAGACAAATGATTTGCTCTTTCAAGAACTTCACAGCCAAGAAGAAATATATCTCCAGGGTCTCAACTATAACATTTGCGATATACCGCCCGTCTATGTCAGAAGTCTCATCCAAGGAAACCCATATCTTGTTGTCAGCAACAGATGTTTAAATCTTATTTAACATATTTTTGTAACATGTAGAGAGATAATTTTTCTTAATGTCGATTCACTTGGGATAGGATGACAAGTGTATGCCTCCAAAAAATTTCTGAAGTGCTGATTATGTAATTTTTCTATTGAAATATTCAAAGAAACCACCCATTGTTCACCGAAGAAGAAGAATTAGCAGAATTGTTTTTAAACAACAAACTTTGTCTGCTATCCTTTTTTAGATAATCTGCTTAAACATTTAACATGTTTAGAAGTTTTACAATGCTGCTGCACAGTAAATCGCTTTTCTGCCATAACTTTCACATCACACAGCTTGTAATAAAATATCTCTCCATTGGTACTAAACACTTTTTCACCAAACTCCTGTACAAAACTATGCAAGTTTGCGCTTCTTGAACTACTAGGCATTGTAAAGTCAAACTGAAGTGTTTGAGGGCCCTCCACATATATAAATAGAATACTTTTAAGACTGGAATGGGTGTATACCTGGCTAGTCAGCAGTCTCCATCTTACTATACAGTATATAATGTAGTAAGATGGAGACTGGGAAAAGCCAGCTAGCCAGGTTATAAATGTTGCATTCCACAAATTTTCAGGAAATTGTGTAAACATGCCTTCAAATGAGGCACAGTTGCCTGACACATATGTCGCTGTTACAAGGTGTTCGCACTCCTGCTTCTACACAGTGTGATGTGCCCATTACCATTTCACACATCCAGAAGTAGTGGACATTTTGTGGCATGCCATAAGTTGTCAAGGAATCTTGTGTGGCATCCTAGGAGATGACTCATATGTACAAGGTGTGGCAATAAAGAAACCGGATTCATGCTCTAACCCTTTATTAAAAAAAAATCAGACAGTCGAAATGTTATCCCCTTCAATGTAGTCCCCTCCCCGATCCCTACACCGCTCCATGCGAATTTTCCACTGTTGGAAGCAGTGCTGCAGGTCATCTTGTGTTATGCTCTTCAAGAGTTGCGTCGCTTTTGCTTTCACTGCATCCACGGACTCGAACCTGGTCCCTTTCAGCGCAGACTTGATTTTTGGGAAGAGAAAAAAGTC